TTCTTGCTCGGAACCTTTTTCTTTTTCTTCTAAGTTCCACCATGCTTCTCCAGCCCCTAACCATGTTTTTGCTTCATTTGGCTTGTCGTTATCCCAATCACTCTCGTCGTCACTGAATTCTGTTCCATACACCAGTTCTCCCCACTTTGGCAGTTTTATGCCATATGTTTTATCTAAGTTCGGATGGTTTTTCTCATATTCGTCATCTGACTACCACGATTCCTTAATGGCATTGTAATCATTCCAGGTTAATACACTCTTTAACTCCCTAGTTAATTCTTCTAGTAATTCTTGATACTCTTCGTGGGTATTTAACTCATCTTCCTCTTCATTATAACCTCTAGATTCAACTTCTTGACAGTTTCGACCTTCTTCCCAACCGTCGTCGGTAACATACTCAGCCAACGATAGCAACCAATCTTTTTCTTCAATGGTTCTAATGCCTTTTTCTTTAGTTTTTTCCTTATTGACCTTATCAGTTTTCTTTATTTCATCCTCAGGTTCGTGCTAGCAGGAAAGTGCATCAGCGTCGCTGTGGACCCTATCAGCCCTGTGCTGGATAGTATAGTTATATAGTTGCAGCCTAATTATCCATTGGTCACGTCTCCTGTTTAGCTTGGCCGTGTGGAGCCACTTTAACGCAACATGGTCCGTTACTACTATGAAGGGTTTAAACCTGAAGTAGTGATAGTAATATTTTATTGCCTATAGCACTGCAAGACACTCCAATTTAGTGGCTGAATAATTCTTCTCGGCCTGTAATAAACCCCTACTGGCGTATGAGATGACCCGGTCTTTACCTTTCTCATCTTTCTGAACTAGTACTGCACCTAACCCAGTATCTGAGGTGTCAGTATGTAGGAAGAAGGTTTTTGAAAAGTCGGGATACTGGAGGATAGGTGCTGTGGTTAGGTGGGTTTTTAATTTCTTAAAGGCTGTTTGTTGGTCATTACTCCACTCATACTTTACATTTTTCTTTAGTAGGTCATGTAGGGGCCGTGCTATAGCCGCGAAACCTTTTATGAAATGACGATAATAGGACGCAAGTCCTATGAATGCCCTTAATTGTCGGAGGGTCTTTGGAGCCGGATAATTTTTGACTTATTCAACCTTTCCTTCGTCAGGTTGGATACCTTTTCGACCGATGATATGTTCTAAAAACTGTATGTCCAGTTTAAAAAAGCTGCATTTTTCTATATTAATTTTTAAGCCAGCTTTCTCTAATTCTATAAAAACTTTCTTCAAATGAACTAGGTGTTC